TGTCATCACCGTTGCCTCTGTCATCGCCTCTGTTGTCAGCGTCACTTCTATCATCACCCGTGGATGCATGTGTTCCCGACGCAAAGAAATCGTCGTTGTCGTTGGATGTGCTGTCGAACAAGAAGTCACCCTCGTCCCAACGCATGTGGGCCCTGCGAATGCCACCATCCGTCCGCTGTCGCCGAGTCCGAAGAGCAGAACCCGCATCGCCACGTGTACGTCTTCCGACACCTGCTCGTCCACGGCCGCCACGTCCCCGACCACCAGCCCTGCGTCGCCTCCTGTCCGACTTCGCCACCCGACGCTCGGCTCCCATGCGGGAAATGGCGCGCATCCTCTCTCTGGCGAGGCTCAACTCCTCCTCGGTCACCTTCGCCAGAACACCGGTGCCTCTGACGAGCTGCTGGTGCACGGCTGCCTCGTCCTCCACGGCCTGCCAATAATGCACCCATTTCCCGAAGACGTCGGGCCTCTCTCCAACACCATCGTCGCACAACGAAGGTCGATCAAGTAGCCTGAGGTTCCAGTGGCACCGCACAAGCTTCTCAGCCCGGGGAACCTCCAACCTGTTGCGAGACTTCGAATGAATGAAGCTCCAACGAGACCACGCTCTCTCGCACGGTGAGGCGGTCGCCCATATACGAAGGATCCTGCCTGCAAACACGACCGTGTGAGGGAACTTCGCCTTCTTTGAGGACCAAAAACTGGCAGGGTGATCAAAGATATCAGCAGCTCGCCGCATGGTGAGCTCATCGAAAGGGGGCTCCCTCATGTGGAGCTTGGCGACCGCTCGTTGGACCTCCCGGTGCTGCGGCGAATCCTCCGGGTAACCGAACTGGACAAGGGCCTTGACCAAGGTCTGCTGCACCTCCGCATCGTCACAAAGCGTCGCATTCCGGAACTCTGGATCTAGCAGCATGGCTGCCGTGTGGGCGGGGTCTTGAACATGGTGCGCCGCCTGTGGAACACCTCCACAATAGCGTCCTGCTGCTCCCGATCAATGTCACGACATGCGGATAAACAAGATGCAATCATTTCCTCGTAACGTTGCAGAATCTTGCTGATCTGGCGTGTGTCGCTGTCCACCAACTTCAGCATGCCCATGATGGGCTCTAGCATCKTGCACAGAGCTCTCAAATCCTCCCACCATGGAGGGGAGCCGATACATGCAGTGACCTCCGCTGCATCCTTGCGGATCTTGCTGGTCGACCAAACAGTCTCGCGCCAGCGATCGTCGGCCACAACATCTGTCAACGCGGCCCGCAGTGCCACCAGCCTCTCCATCATGATTACGTTCGTGCCGAAACGCGTCTCCGCCGGTAGCAGAAGAGTCTTCGTCGAGTGCGCCTCAAGAACCTCTCTCGCATGTCCATGGCGCTTGAAGAACCTTGTAACCAGCCTCGCTTGAGAAATTCGGGAAGCCACCCAATCAATCCCGCCGATGTCCTCGAGAATGAGATCCATGATGTGGGCGACACAAGGAATCCAGAAGATGTGTTTCACGCTCTCATCTTTTTGGAATACCTCCATCGCCGCGACGTTCACCCCGGCGGAGTCCGTCACGAACGCCGTGATGTCGCTCAATTGAACGTCCATGGACTTCACCCTTTTCAACCATACGTTCGCGAGGGCACTAGCCTCCTTTTTGCCACGCATGACGTCGGTGGACACATACACCACCCCGATCTCTGTACCAACAAGGTAGTTGCACAACGTTTGACCACGGATGTTGGTCCAGCCATCGGTCATGATTGTGCAACCGGTCTCTCTCGACGTGTCAAGCACCGGCCGAACACACTTGTGGACCTCACCATCCAACTCGTCCAAAAGGGTTGTGCGCAGCATGTGGTACGAGGGAAGTCTAGGCGCGGGCGCCCCTTGAACCCCCGACGGGATTATCATCGTGAACATGCGTTTGAAGCTTTCAAGCTTCGTGTTGTTGAATGGCATCCCGCTCTTGACGATGAACCGCATGATTTGCGAATGCCATGCGCGCTCCAAAGGGTCCGAATAATATGACGTGACGGCTTGCTGCCTGTAAGTGCCCCGACATCGTCCCGTCGTAGCTCTCCCGCCGAGGACCCCAGCATCCAACAACCCGCCAGGGCTCACAAGTGTGGCGCTCTGGGCGACTGCAAGGTCACAAATGCGCTGTAAAGGGTCTAACGTTCCGGTCAATACGGGTGGAGGCTGTTGGGCAGACCGACCACCGCCCGTGGTTGTCGGAACAGGGGTCGGCGATGAATCGGACACCGGAGCGGGGACCTCCTCGGCAGGCACCCCATGATCCACCTGTTCCCCGAAACGAGGCACGAAAGCAGAATGTCGAGCATCTGCAGGTGCGTGTGATGGATCCGAGTGGGCGGTTCCGTGAGCGTGGTGGACCATTGGACGCTGCGCCGCTCTCGACGGGGGCGGTGGCAGCCAGGGGTACTCCGACGAACTGCGGGGTGATGCGCCAGGTGCCACCGCAGTACCACCCCGTGCGGCATCTGACTGCCTAGCACTCCTAAAAACAGGGGCGAGCGCGGGCGCTGAACTGCCGGCACTCCCCCCCCACCTGCGACTCTCAATAAATGCAAGTGTGCTCTCCTCGTCAAATGCCGCAGAGCCCACACCATCCCTCAGAGGCGGGGGCTCGTTGGCTGGCGTGGAACGACCAACTCCCACATCGCGAGCACCTCGTGTCCCAGGCAGCGGCGCAGACGGCGGGGCTGCCGGTCGTGTTGCAACTCTTGTTGCAGGACGCGGTACCGTGACACGAATGGCCGGAGCCCCAGAATTGGGCGATGCGACGGCTCCAGAAGGGGCGGTGGGAGGAACCAGCGGCGGCACTGCGTCCTCGGGGAATCGAAGAGGTGGCCACTGCAAGCTCGGATGACCTGGCAAATGGCTCTGCAACGTTTCTATGGCCGACGCGAACTCCTTTGGACATTTTGTCATGTCCTTCGACCAGATCGCATTCCACACAGCAGGAGTGGCTGCCTCACATCGGAACTTCTCGCTCTTCGAGAAGTGCTCGTTGGCGGCTTTAGCGCCCCACAAATTGAACGCCCGCACAACCTGCACAGACATCGACGACCGCTCTTCCTGCCCGCCGCTGTCGACCCATCCAAATAACGCCCTCTGGCCACGAAATGCCACACCGGGTCATCCCGCTTGCCGTCGACTGTCGGGTCGACCTTGAACGGCGAGTCAAACGTCTTCGTGTTATGACCTTGTCGGGCGTTCGTGAGCGAGTCTACCGGATCCTTCCCCCAGTCCTGCGACATGATGAAAGTCGCCAACCGCGAAAAAAAAAGACGATGTCGGAACCCTCTGAGAATGTTGCCAACTCGCAACAGAGATCGAAGTCGGCGTCAGAGCGGCAAAGAAATGCTATGAAACAGGCAAAAACGATGAACGCAAAGTGCAGAACACCTGGACATCAGAGGAAAAACACAAGACGACATGAAACAAAAAAACAAACAACCAAAGAACAACAAAAAAAACTCAGAACTCGGAGGCAAAAAAAAAAAAACGTCGATGTTCTCTGTCCCTTGTCAAAAAAACGACAATGTTCTCCGCAAGGCAACCGTTCCACAGGCGGAACTTCCGATTCTAGGAGGGCGATCCCCTTAGCCACTTATGTGGAACAGTGTGACTGGTGTGGGACGGCAGGGGGACAGGCGGG